TTGAAACGTCGGTGGATTAGGTTGATGTTGTTGATTATGACACGTCAGCAGTGAAAGTGCATTAATGAACCAGTTAGTGTTGCCCCAAGAACTTTCCACCGTAGAATTGTTTGTTGTTGTTGTTGTTGTTGTTGTTTAAAATGTGTGTATATTTAAAACTCAAATGGTGACTTGTGATTGTGAAATGGACAACACTTGGAAGCATTCTTGTTATCACAGCCTTGGTGACATGCTTTGAGAGTTCTGTCACATGTTAACATGCCAGTGTTCACCAACTGTGTATAAAGGGGTATTTTCAAAGGAAATCTATTGTAATGTACCGTGAACTCGGAGGGCACTTTGCAGCAGTGTTTGTACAGCGTAAATAGATCACAGAAATAAAATTACTTAGAAAAAGAGAGGAGCTCAGTGGGGCCAGCCTAAGTCACGGCGGGTAAGGCAGCTGGATCCCACACGGCTGACTGTATGGTTAGAGTCCTGGGTCCAGCGGCCTGAAAAACACACAGGGCGCGCGTGTGTGTGTGCATGCCCCAAATCCTGGACAGAGAATGGAGGTGGGACTGAGGCCTGACCATCCCCCATAGGGGTACTTTCTCACCTTCCCTCTCTCTCGCCTGCTTGCGGTGGGTGCACTCGCCCTCTGGCAGACTGAAAAGGCAAAAAACAGAACTAAAGTTGAGACAGCCACATGAATCCACGACCTTTAAGTCTTAGGTCTCTGAGACCCTGCCATAGTTTCTGACAGGTGCCTCGGGAAGTCTCCTCGGGAAGAGGCATTTGGCACTTCTTTCCCCTGGGAAGGGGTCAGGGAGACCCAGGTGAGCTGCATCCTGGGTGCTGCGGTGGGCAAGCCTGCTTCCTCCAGCGCTGCGGAGTGCCCCCCGCCAAAGGGGACAGCACAGGGCTCCGGCCGGCACACCGGATTGTCTGAGGATCAGAAAGGAATGCCTAGTTTTGTGAAGATTATTTTTAATTCCTTTAAAAAAATTGCCAGAGGTCCAGTGAGATTTCCAGATGGACCCAGAGAGGGAAAGTCTAAAGCTGCCCCCATGGGGCCTGGTCGTGCTGCAGTCCCTCCATTTCTCCACCCTGTCAGGAGTAGAGGCACATACAAGTACCCGGCTTATTTTAAATTACTGAGTCTGGAACTCGAGCAGTGCAAGCTGGCTGTGGGACGTGGTTCCTTTACCCATCAGGCTCTGGGCCGGCCCATGGATGCCTAACGTGTCCCAGGATGGGGCAGCCCCGTTTCCCTGTCTCAGCCTGCCCGAGCATGGGCATCTGTGTGCCCTGCATGCTGAGGGAGGTCCCCAGATCTCAGAGCTACAGGCTGAACATCCCTAATCGGAGAACCCCAAAACTGAAATGCCCCCAAATCTGACACATTTTGAGCACAGACAGGACTCCACAAGTGGGAAACTCTGCCCTTAATATCAATGACAGGGCACAGTCAAAATGCTGCAACACACAACTACCGTATGAGGGAACTCAGGCCGCAGAGAAGGCGTCCATGAAACAGCGAGATCTAGGCTGAGACGGGGCCCACCCCCAAGAGAGCTCGTTACATATATGCAAATATTCCACATCTGAGACCTCTGGACTCTTGTGAGTCAGACATTTCAGATAAGGGATACCCAACCTGTACATAACGGGATGGCATATGTGATTCAAAATGATCCTTACAGAAAATGCCACATGCTGCCCGCTCAAATTGTGTATACTGAACGAAGTTTAGTTGAAAGTCCATAGTAAAATATTTAGTCACCTATTTTGCAACCTGAGGGATGTGTGTGGTTCATGTGAAATTCCATGAATGCAGGCAGAAAAGAACTGAAAAATTATTTTTAAAGCTGTGTAACAGATCATAGTTAAAGAGAAAACAAGGTCAGAGTAAGACGTAACACGCCGTTGTCTCGAGAGAGAGGCTGGGAAAGGCATTGCCACCGCAGTGAGGAGGCCGCCCCATGCACTCCGTGACCAGGCACAAGGATCTTGGAGGTCCTTCCAGGATTCTGGGTTACTGTCTGGACTTGTCCTCAAATTCATAACTGAAGTCCCCAACTTTTTTGTTTTGTTTTGTTTTTCTTTTTCTCATTTGTCAAAAGGTGTGCATACTTGCCAGAGAGAGAGCGAGAGAGAGAGAGGAGAGAGGAAGCACTCCCCATGGGGAAACACAATCCATTCCTCATTTCTCTTTCTTTTTGGGACTTTGGGCGCACACGCACAAGCACCCGGCATGACTCTCCAGCCTTTGCCAGTACTCAAACCATGTGGTCGGCCTCGGGGATCTGGCTGCTTCACCCACCGGGCCATGGAGCTGCCCCTCGAGGTCCTAAATTTCTAATGGGTAGCCTTGAATCAGTAATCTGAGCTAACCTGAAACTGGACTTCTAGAGGGGACTTCGAAAAGTTTGTGGAAAAACAGGAATAAAGCACTAGTTTATTGTGGTGCAAAAAAGGAAAAAAAAAGAAAAGAAAATCCATGCATAGTTTTTTTCACAGTGCACATTTTCCACGAACTTTTTGAAGACCCTGCCATTTGTACCTTGTTACCCAGGCAGGTACAAAATACATACAGTGACAGAAATGAGTTTTTAACATTAAATTTATGTTATCAATAATTTGGGGGAAGACATAGCCATGAACTTTTCTTTTTTATATTTTATTTACCTTAATCAATTAACTAATTAATTAATTTTATTTACTGGGGGTGGGAGAGAGAGAAAGTGAGAAGCAAGCCGCCAGGTCAGAACTCGAACCGCGATCGGCCATGTGACAGTTCAGCACCCTTAACCACCATGCGATCTGCCGGCCCCACCATGAAATTTTCGGTAGTTATTTTAAAAATTCTGTCTGGGGGATGGAAAGTGGCATGGTGGTTAAGGTGCTGGACTCCCACATGGCTGACAGCGGTTGGAGTCCTGGTCTTGGCAGTTTGCTTTCTCTCTCTTTCTCTCTCTCTCTCTGTCCCTCTCTTGTGAATTAAAATAATAATAATAATAACAAAATAAAATAATTGTTAAAAAATAAAATTCTATCTGATTTTTTAAATGTTCTAGAGAATCAACTACATTAAATTTGTGATTTTAATTGAAATGTTTAGTAGGGTTTATTTATACTAAATATTTAGGAGAACTCTCATTTGTTCAATTTATTAGCTAGTTTACAGAGGAAACAATGCCTTGAGTTTTAAAGCTCTTAACATGGACACTTGAAAAAATAAACTGTAGGCAGCCCTCCTTGATGCGGTGAATAGGAACTAGGAAGTGTTACTAGTATGTATCTAGAAGACACTTGGACCTGCTTCTGAACCAATCAGCAAGAGGTGGGGCCGTAGCATTTGTTTGGGGTAATAATAGGCAAGGATAAACAAGAACAAGACCAAAACCAGAGTGGAGGCCAGAAGGTGGCGGGGTCAAGGTGCTGGATTCCCACGTGGCCAACTAGGGTTCAAGCCTGGACATATATAATACATGACTGTATTACATGTACAGTTACATATGCATATATACATGATGTTTGCACATGGTTCAAGTCCCTTCTCCATGCTCTCAGGGTTTTGGGCATGCGCACAGCATCCAACCCCGCTGGCCACGTGGGGTGCAGCAGCTTAACCACTACACCACCTGCTGGCCCCCTTCATCTGTCTTAGAGAAGGCTCTGTGTGACTGCGGGTCAGCCAGTCTGCATCCGTTGGTTTGCTAAGGAAGCTCCAGAGAGTAAAGTCATCTGAAGGACTGCAGCAAAGGCCCGCCTTCTCTTTGGGCCGGGTTGCAGAGCCCGCCTGGAAGAACTGCCAGCGAGCTGAGGTTCTTTTTCAGGAGATGTGACTGACAGACCTCTGTAGACTAATCGGGAATGGCCCGGTGGGCAACCAGGCCTCGGTTTCCCTCCACTATTCTCTCCCGCGGTCTTTCACTTACTTGCCTCTTAGCACACGAGGCGCTAGAGAGCAATCAATTGACAGGCGAGCGATTGGAACAGCTCTTAATGTACTCTCATAAAGCAACGGAGCAGGTGGATGAAGAATAGAATTGCAATAATGCACAGAGCACGGTTTGATCAGAAATGCTCACTTTCTTTTAATCGGAATGCGTGGGCTCGATCTAATGATTTCTTTTTTTTTAGTTTGCACAACACTTTTATAGATGAGTTCCCTAACTTTAAAAAAATGTTCAACTGTCTGCGTTCTAGGGCGTCCGGGTCACCCTAGGCTATTTAAGCCACGGAAGCTCCTGCCCCCGCCCAGGAACCCGCAGGGAAGCGGGGGAGCTCCGCGTCTATGCTCGCGGTGCCCGGCCCTCACCGGGTCCAGGTTGCGTCTGGGCCCCGACAGCGCGCCAGGCAGGGGCCCTCCAGGCTGGGCAGGGGCTGTGGCCGCGGCAGGTGGCCAGCAGGGGTTTCTGCAGAAGGTTACCTCTGCACCTTTCTCCTCCTGAACGGCAGTAACCGCCTGCGGGCTTCTGTCTACACCGCCATGGAGAAAAGCTGTGAAGGAGAGCCACTGACTGGGCGGCGGGACACCAAGCCCTAGGAGTACCGGCAGCGCGACGCGGCAGGTCCCCGGCCCGTTCCATCCAGGATGGCGAGGAGAGACGCTAGTCGCGTGTCCGGGGCCCACGGGAGGCTCTCGGTAGGGGGATAGGAAGACCGGGCTGAACCCAAGGCTCTTGTCCGGGGCCCGGGGTAGTGGGTGCGGACTTCCGAGGGTCCCGAGCGGGGACACGCCCTCAGGGCCGGGACTACCCCTCGCAGCCCAGGCGCCGCCCCGCCGCGGGTCCCCGCCCTGCGCCCGCGAGGTGCTTAGGCGTGGGCCGCGCAGGGCCGGGTCCCAGAGCCGCTGCAGCGGGACGCCTGCGGGACGCAGGGAGGGCAGGGGTGCTGCCAGGGCTCCGGCCGGCCTGGGCCCCGCGACCTGGGTCCTGTCGCCGCTCTCTTGGGCTGGGAACCTTCGACCCTCAGGATTCTCCCTGCGCCTCCTGCGTCCTCCAGGCACCGACATGCGGCCGGCTAAGGCCAGCGCCCCTCTGCCAGCGCTGCTTCTCCTGGCCCTAGCTTTGTCCCTGCCTGGGACCCAGGGACGGCCCCGCGGGCGCAGAGGTGCGCGCGTCGCCGACCAGGACCCGAAGCCTTTGGTTTTCCTCCCGGCCGGGGCGCGCCAGGCTCCCAGCGCCGCCCGGAGCTCAGGTAAGAAGTGCAGGTCCCAGGCCACCCCGTGCCCGCGCCCAGGTGTCAGCGGGTGTTCTTGGGGGTCCCGCAAGGCACTCACACTGGCATAGCAAAGATTCTCGGCTCTCCGAATGAAAGGAAACGGATCTGTTAGACTCACCGCGGTGGAGAAGTAAATAACAAATGTGGCTGGCAAAGAGCCGGCTTCAAGTGCCCCTTCCTGGGCGCGGAGGGCTTTTTGGAAATAAGTTGGCAGAGCGGCCCAGAGACGGGGTCCCATCAGTCCCACGGTCTCACTGCGGGGTCCCGGGGTTTGGGGCGTTCCCGAAACGACAGTACTGACACCTGATCGCGCTCACGGAGGCCCTTCCTTCCCCTTCCAGCCAGCCACGGGAGGCTGGCACGAATTCCAGCAGGCTGCTGCGGCTTGGGGACGTTCTGGGTCAGTTTCCAGGGCCCCAGCCTGTGCGGCTCCGAGTCCACTCTGAACGCTCAGGTTCCTGCTACTCAGATGGCCAAGGAGGGGCGTTGGGATGACGACGGAGACAGAGCGGCCCCTGCAGAGGGCGAGGCAGTCTCCTGAATGCGCCAAGGACGCCCAGGACCCTGGGGGCGCTGAGGTGGGGGGCTCAGGGCTGGCCGGTGCGTTCCTGTCCTGTGACAGTAGTGAACGCGTACAGACGCCCACGGACCTGCTGCTTCTTGGGGTCTCGCAGAGGGCCGCGCCGCCCAGCCCACGCTGGGTGTCCGCCTCCCACACGTTGTGCGATGGAGGGGACCCGGGCACGCGGGCCCCTGAGCAGGGGGAGGGCGTGGGACAGGCATAGGGCGCTGAGGTGGCAGCTGAGCGCCCTGTATAGAGGGCTCCGAAAGCCCTCGGGAAGGTGGGCGACAGGGTGCGAACACAGCTGGAGCGCAGTGACAGTGCGACCGTTCACTGTGACTTAGAGTCATCGCACCCCGATGTTTATCTCAGGGGAGGCGGTGCCCCTGTGGAATGTGCGGGCAGTGGGAGACGGCCTCCCGGAGAACACTGTGCTAACATGAACGCAGACCTGTTTAGGTTTCACGCATACTCCTGGCAGGAACGCCGGGAAGCTCACTGCAGTGAGCTAAAGGGAGAAGCAGAACATTTATGAAGAGTTAGAGTAAACTTGGCGACCATCCAGAGTTTGAAACCTCAGCGTAGCCTGAGGGAAAGTGACCTGTGGGTCCCCTGCCTCCGGTCGCTTCCCCCCACGTTCCTGGTCTCGTCTTTGAGCCCTTGCCACAGGGGAGAGCACCGTGCTCCTTACGTCAATGCTGGTCGGGGAAGGCACGCCTGGCCACCATCGGGGACAAGCCTTAGGAGCAGAAGACAAGGGCCTGTCACGTTGGTGTGGGACACGCTGGGGGTGGCAGAGCTCATTCAGGAGGGAACCTCCCACCCCTGGAGTCCATGGACTCTCCTCCCTGCCTGAGTGCCTAAAAGTCTGCCCCATAGTCCTGCTGTTCCGCGCACCCACCCTCAGGCTGCCACCGTGCTCTGGGCTCTGCGGTCCCTGCTGTGCGGCAGCTGGGCTTGCTGCCTTCTCAGTAGCTGGAGGGCTGCCCCAAATACAGACTGAGGCTGCGGGGGCAGGGGGTCAGCCTAGGCAGAGGGGGGCAGCAGGTCCAAACGGCTGAGGCAAGAAGGGATCCGGGAGGTCGCCCCTGAAACTGTAGAGTGTGCACGTGTCACGGGAGGGGGAGACAGTAACAGGGACTCACCATCGTCCATGCTCCCCCCGCAGCCTGGCTCCTCCTTTCCACGGTCTTTCCTCCTGTCCTGATCAAGCCCTCAGCATTGTGAGTGACAGTGATCTGGTTGTCTTTCCAGCTGTGTTAGTGCCCCTGCTTGTCTGTCTCACTGCTGTGAGAATTTAAAATGTGTGTTTCTGCACTCTCACCCTGGCCCTCTTATGCCTGATCCCGCCTCCCACATCTGTGGTCCTCACACCTGTGGGGCAGGTCTGGGTCCTCACACCAGTGGAGCAGAGCAGGTCATGGGTCCTCAGACCAGCAGAATAGAGCACATTCTGGTTTCGCAGCAGCAGAACGGAGCCGCAGGAGTCCTGCTCCAGCCACAAGCAGGGAACACGAGGGCACTCGTCCCCCGAAGTACAGAGGAGAGCGAAGCTGAGACACGGGCCAGGGCGGGAGCAGACCGGGCGTGGCGGCGTCTGAGGCAGAAAGGCTGGTGTGATGTGGGCAGACGAAGTGCGAGGGGACTGTCCATAAGCTGGGGTGTAGCGGCTGTCCCCTTTGCTGCCTCTGCCTTTTCACGAGATTCAGTAAACCCTCGCCTCATCTCTGTAGACCTTCTGGAGTCAGAGTCATGTTATTTTAATGGCGAACCTTCCTGACACGGGGTGAAAGAGAGAAACAGAGGTCACAGTGGCAAGGTAACCGGCTGGAACGGTCCCTGTGAGTGGAGCACGGCTGGTCCCTCCCTGCCATCTGCAGTGGCTTCTCCATTGTCTAGACAGGCTGCACCTCTCTTGGAAGGAGGAACTGAAGTTGCTCTGTGACCCCCCACTCCCCGCCTTTCCTGGGGCTCTCCAGGGGCTGCTAGGAGTGCCTCTGGGCAAGCCATGCACCTGGGCCTGCCCCTTACAGCTCTGACCACTTCCTCCAAACCCTCTGCTGCTCTGCCCCTCGCCTGCTGGCATTCTCTCCGTGCCCCCTTCCTTCCTGATGTCTTCGCAGTTATTTCCATGCTCAGAAACATCTGACCCTAAATTCACTTCACAAAAACCCCATAGTCGTTAAAACAAAATGAATCCGATATACTTGAATACTGCTAGGACTTGCGTAATATTGGAATTTTATTTATATAACCCTAAACACACACACACACACACACACACATTTTCATTTCTTAGGAGGCTGCTTTTTTGCTACTTTGCTTACTGCCAAAGAGGAGGCTTATAAAATTACTTTTATAAGGCCAGCAGGTGGCATAGTAGTTACGATGCTGGACTCCCACATGATTGACCATGATTCAATCCCAGCTCCGGCAGCTTGAAAATCACACTGGGTGCATGTCTGTGTCTACCCCAAACCCCAAGAAGAGAATGGAGAAGAGATTGCGATGTGGCCATCCCCCCCGGAGGGTGATTTCTCACTTTTCCCCTGTTTCTCTCTGTCTTGTGTACATGCCCTATGGCAAAAACCTTAAAACGTTATTTTTATTGTATGTATTGAAAATGTGGGATGTGATGTTTTGCCATACATATTCATAAGGAAAGAATCCCGACAGTCAAACAAGTATTGTCACCTCCTGTTTTAGTATTTTATTTGCAGTTACTTGCAGCTATTCGTTTACTGAAAACACGAGAAGGGGTCAAGGTGGAACAGTGAGGTACGATTTTTCGCCAAGGATCTTGAGCAGGTGCTATGACCAGCAGTCTGTGGGCATGGCAGCTAGTTGCTATGAGCAGAAACACTTGTTACAAAGCACCGGAGCCACCTCACCAGGATGGATTTCTGCCTGTTCATGCCTTTCTGGCAGTGACGGTGGCCAGGAGCACACTTCTCTGGCTGCGAAGTGGGGGACATTCTATGCAGGAAGTTGGCAGAATCACCCACTGTGGCTGCTCGCTCCCTGGGATGGCTCAATCCTAGGAGAAGACGTTCTGATCACACCCTGGTTAGGAGGACTAGTATTTTTTTAAATCGCCAGAGGACATATGGTTCACTAAAGAGAGCGCGAAAAAGAGAGAGGGAGAGGTAGCACCCCTGTCAAGGTATGGTCACACCGCAATCCTGTCTCCATTTCTCCGCCCCATTGGGATTTGGGGCACACATGTATATGTGCCCAGTGTTATTCAAGGTGCTGGGGCTGGGATTTGAACCATGGTCAGCCACGTAGGATCTGTCTCCCTTTATACACTGTGTCATGGGGCTGGTCCAGAAAAAGTAGTACTTTAAAAATTTATTTTTAATGTTAATATTTTTCCTTCGGTCTTTGATTGCATTTCTGGAAATAAACTCTGAGACATTTAAGAGCAGATTTCTGAGACTTTGTGCTGCGTGTAGGAGAGGGTGATGTCTCCCTCCAGCGTCTGAGATCGTAGAAAACCTCACAGCACTGAAAGGCAGCATGTCCTGGAGTTTAGATAACGGTGTAACTCTGACTCTACACCGACCAACATCAGCTGTCAGGAAACATCGGGCCGCCTGGAAACTCACGACCCATTGTTGCATAGAAAAACATAGAAAAAAATGCAATGACTTCTCAGACGACCCGATAATTAAATTGTGTAGTCTGTTACATCCTAATAAAATAAAAATTTATTAAAATGGGATTCATTTGGAGTTATTGTTAGTCTTTTGAATAGACTATTTCTCAGTAATGAGTTCTTTCTCTGTCAAATACAGAGATACATGCTCATGTTGTAACCCACATTAATCGATATTTCAGCATTACATCTGTTTGAACATAAGCTCTGTCAAGTTGGAGACTGGAGGCTACTCATTTTTAATACCCCATAACCTACCAAAGTTGACATTTAAGTAGGTTTTTTTTTTTTTTGAGAGGTTTTGGCTATAGGGCACATGCGTTCACCAGAAAGACAGACAGAGAGACAGAAAGTGAGAAATCACTCGCCAGGGGGGATGGCCTCCCAGCAATCCCTTCACCTCCTTTCTCCTCTCGGGATCTTGGGCACGCACGCACATGCGCCCAGCATGAGTTTAAGCCACCGGGTCTGGGACTCGAACCGCAGTCAATTACATGGGAGTCCAGCGACATAGCCATTACACTAACTGCTGGTCCCAAGAAGGATATTTTTTGAAAGAAAGAGCTGAATTCTTGAAAAGGGTTGAGGGTCTTTAAACAATTTTAACTATAAAAGTAACAGAATTTGAATTTTTATTTGCTCAAAAGCCAAACCAGGCCTGTGGTGTTATTTCCTCTGTGTCATTATGAGTCATAAGCTAATTTCTTAACTTTGGTTGTGGTTAGCCAATACAGTGCTGCCCCTAATGCTGTCTAG